CTGTAAACGTAATTCTAGTAGAGGTTGCAAATACATGTGTTTCAAACAAGTGTGTCAAATTTCAGATCAAATCGGTAGTCGGTTTGAAAAATATCTCCGTCGCCAGATTATAAAACATGATTTAGAGAAAAACTCAATTTAAAAATAAAATAAAATTTTTATTTCAAAACTCCTCGCTTCCATAAACTGCACCTTCTAATATTTCGTTTTGATCACAAAAACCTTTTTGTATAGCTCTTAGTTTCTTGCGTCTCAATTTCACTATACTAGTGCATTGTTTTTCTGCTTTAGAAATGCGCTTAGAGTCATTTATAAGACAAAAGTTATGTAGATTGCAACCTACTGTTATTTCAAGCTTATCAAATAACGTCTCTAAAAATTGTAGTCCATTATTAAAGTATAGGACAGCTGATGCTACTCCAACACATAAAGCAGTTCTTTCTACAAATATATCTTTGGGACACCGCTTCCAAATCAATTGATTCAGCGCCTCCTTAAAATTCTGTGTTTTGCCGTGCAAACACTTTTCTAAAAGAACATCACTGCCAAGATCTATAAATATTGGTTTTATAAAATCCCTCAGCAGGAATACAAATATTTTCTTTGTATGTTTTTTTTCCAGTTATTTTATCAACCTGGAATTTGCACCAAGAATCCTTGGTGCGCAAACAAAATTGATGGCGTGTTTCATTGTCATAACTCTCAGAACAGTGAAAAAGAACAGCTGCTACACTTTTTTTCATTGCATACAAAATACCAACATTTTGTCTGATTGTTTTTTCATAGTAATTTTGCAATGTGTTAATAACATTTTCTGTCAAACGACCTTCTCCTCCTTGTTTTTTACCATCACTTAAATTTTTTTTGCTGCTTTTTTTTTAAGTTTCTTAAACGCGTGCCAATTCGTTTTTGACCAATGCACTCTACTTTTTTAAGTTCTACATTATGTCCATAAGGTTTAGCAGCAACAACACTGGTATAAAAACTACTCTCCGTCACCAAGATATGTGCGATACCTTAAATTGTTTTTTTTTTTCAGAACAATGAAAAAGTTTTAAAACAACACTTGATTCCATAGCCGATGAGGATCCAATATGACTAATTTTACACTTTTGGAAATGTGATGACTGGAACTTTTCATATTAAACTAGATGTGTGTATTTTTTTAACTTCCATATTGAACATAATTTACATGTTTTTGTTTCTATTTGAAAGTCAAATCATTTACCACTTTCAACTGAAATTGCAGAAACAACTCCGTTATTTGAAGTAAAACCACGCTTTTGCTATGAACCATCAAAGCTACACATAATGTTTCTTGATGTTTCACCTGCATGGATTAATTCATCAGCAGCATTTTTCATGTTCTGGTCAACTAAATTTTGATAAACATCTAACAGGTTATGTAAAGTTTTATTGTAGCTTTTTTTGTTCATAGATGGCTTCATATTCATTATTCCACAAAATTTTTCTAATGACGATACCCTTTACCCATTTCACGAAAAGCCACAATGACACGTGTGTTAATAATAAATGGTTTTTGTCCACTACATTTGCTTTTAATAGGTTCTTGTTGTTCAAGAAAATTTTTATTACAAAATGTAGCAGATGAAAAAAACTCTGTTTTGTAATTGCAACTGTTACAACATATTTTTAAACCAATACTCAAACCATACTTTTTTGACGAATCAAACATTAAAAAAACATTATCTTAACACAAATTTGGGCATTTAAGTAACGATATAACGTTTTCCAACATACTAGAGTTCAAAACAAAGTTAAAATCTGTACTTTGAAAATCTTGAAAATCTCTATCAGCAATATTTAATTTTTTTGAAGAAGTAGAATGTGTAGCAGATTCAACAAAAGAAAAACTTTTCGTTTCTGAAGAAGGAATCTATAGCTGTTTCCACGAAAATTTGCTTTTTTGTTATTGTATATTCTGCTTGATAATTGTTTTCTTTTTGATCCACCCATATTATTTTTATTGTAAAAAGATAAAAGATATACTACAGCATAAATAATAAAGTTTGAATGCAGCTTGAAACAAGAAGCAAATTACGTCAATAAATCATCAAGCTAAACTAATTAACAAGAATTCGTTGCAGTCTACAACTTTGCACTTAAAATAGTTGGCTAGGTAAGTATTTTATGGCTTTTTTATGGTTTTAACTTGTTTCTGAAGCGCATAACAACGGAATAAACAAAATGCTGCTAGGGGGAAAATAAAAATAATTTTATACTGATACATTATAATCAGGTTTTAACATGTGAAGCTTTTTTTATAAGCTAGTAAAAAAAGGCCGCCTAAGTGTTCACTTTACATTGTGTTTAAATTTGGTTCAATATTAAATCATGCTTTTAATTTATTTTAATAATTTTACTCTTTAATAAGGTTACTCAAATGAAAGGGTGGAAGTCGCGACTCCACAGAAGCAATTAAAAATGTTTTAAAGGCTATCATGGTATACAGACATTACTAAGCAAGGAGAGTAAAAAA